TGGTATCTAAAGCTTCAGTCCAATTTCATTAGTTTTTTTATTCATCATTGTATCATAATAATACCTTTTATAACCATTTATATTCTCTTTAATTATTAATGTTACCTTTATGTTATACATGTTTTTCCTTTTTTATGTGCAGCATTTTGAACTGGAAGGTGCCTATAAAGGAACTTTGCTGTAATATGTTTTTCACAGTACAAGCCATAAAATCACAAAAGCTTAAAATATCGGATAGGATGTGTCGAAAAAAGTGCATTTTATCGGTTCTTGTACCTTTAGCTTCCACCACATATCGGTTAGAGCTGCATAAGGAAAAGCGGCAACGGCATTAGTGAAACGCTTCACACGGTGAAAGAGGTTTATGTTTTGTTTTTAACCGTCTTCTGTGTGCATGGCTGGATAATGGAGACGTTCCACCTGTTGATCAGAGGAACGAGGGTTTTATTTCATCAAAATATTCACAGAGATACTCTGAATATCTTGAACTATTTTACCCTCAATCCTCGTTTTATTTTCTTTCAAGATGAAGAAGTTTGTGTCCATAAAGCCAGACTGCTACTACAGCTCTGTTGGGCCCCAGTCCCCCAAACACCCCCCAAACCCCCTCCCACAGATTCACTCAGAGAGGCTGTAAAACACAGGTTTTAAAGGCTTTTAGCTTGTCAAGAACTTTCCCTCTTCTGCATTGTGGAATAGCTTTGTTTGTGCAGATGACATCAAATGGACTCCCAGTTATTACTTTCATGGCATGAGGATGTGAGGGCGGAAGTAGTCACACAGAGTGCAGGGGAGAAAGCTTGTAAAAACAGGGACTGAAGAAAGAAATATAAAAAAAAGAAGAAATCCACTGAGAGAAAGTGAACAAAATCAAGATGAACCCGTGAGGTTTCAAAAACTTTAAAATCAATTATTAGAAGAACTAAAACCGCTTTGCATGATAATATTTTGACATACACAGGTATTTAAATGCTACTAATTTATGAATGCTGGCAGACCCTTAGCAACCAGATACAGAAAGTACTTACATTACAGGAAATTTTAAAAATACTGGAGATGATTTTAAGAGTTTTTGGAAACCAACATGAAAAAAACACACAAGCAGGAGACAGAATAAATAAATGAACTTGTCTAAGGGAATGAGATGAGTTACCTTTTTGGGGGGAAATCATATCAAAATATCAAATCATTTTGGCCTTTTATCAGACAATATTGTCCGAAAATATAGAAACTTCAATTTAAAAAAAAATCCTGTCTTAAAATCTGTTTTTTTTCGTTATCTTCTGCAGGCCAGTTAGTTATACATCAGTCCGAACACCTAAATTCAGCCAATCATATATCACCTGTCAATCACATTCACTTTATTCACTGGTGTAAAGTCGTGCACCACTCAGGAGAATTCGGAGATACAACCGTTGGAACAGCCGCTTCCCTACGACTGTAAAGTGCCTTGGGATGACATGGTTGTGAATTGGTGCTGCATAAATACCCAGATTGAATAAATAACAACAGATTTGTAAAGGACTCGGCTTGGAGCGTTTAAAGACTTGTGGAAAATATCTAAATGAGGCTGGGATCAAGTTATGAAGACACGTTTGTGGCTCACTGTTCGAGGCACCAGGAGGGACTCTGGGATTGTGATGTAGATCCTGGTGAGGAATCGTGCACAGGCTGGATCACACGGCAACATAAAGAGCCCATTATTGCCCCGGTTTGCCCCTGCTGACAATCAGAATGTCCCTTCAATCTTAGATGGTGATCATGTCTTGTTTGGTATGTTGAGAAACATCTTATCTGCTAGAATGGAAGACCCAACTCTCAGTTTGTTTGTTTCATACTTTTATTGTATTTTTATATATCGTGACTTTTGCTTTTCTTACGGTGCATTTGCAACATAAAAAATGCACTTTTACTCCTTTACTAAAAAAAAAAAACTGAGACAATGTTCCTCACTAGAAAAGGCAGAAGAAGAATTTATCAGGGAAGGATTTCTTTCTGCACAATCAGCAGGTGAAGAAAAGAAGAAGAAGAACTGTATTCTGTTTGTCCTGATTTTGAAGTATTTTTGAGGATGCCTCTTTAAAAAAAAAAAGTACAATTCACTCTAAAATCGTCAAAAAAGATGATTAACCCAAATTACAGCTAAAGCATTTAGTATTATCGGTGATAAACTGTAGTGAATTTTATTTATTCAGCTTTTAAGTTATATAGGCAAAATTAAATTGTTTTTTTTTCTTTCTCAGACACGTTTCATTGTATTCTTATAGAAGGGCCTTTCAGTTTTCATGCATGTCGTTCTACAGGATGGCTTTTGTCTTATTCTGAGATTTCATAGACAGTACTGTTGAATGTCAGGTTTTCTTAAGCCTAAAGCAGGTTTCAACTAATTCTGACTCCATTGTTTTTATTCAGTAGAAGCATTCCTTTCCCAGTTATTGTGAATAAAGTCCTGATTAGATTAGGCTGAGGATCTTCTCCTTTGCCAGGTGCTGCTTGTCAGTCAGATTCTCATTAGGACCTCTGAGCTTTTTAAGAGATGACCTTAGATGTGCCGGTGCCTCTCAGGCTTCTTATTTAAGTCCTGAGTTTCCCTAACTACCTTAAATGGCCCTAAGAGAGATTTTAATTCAATTTAGTAAATTATGGCTTTAAGAGAGAAGGATGTCGTCTTCTTCTATTCAAACAAATTATCATTAAAGTAATGAAGCATCCATTAGACCTTGTTGGACTCTAAAAGGAAAGCTGTGACTCAGCCACGATAAATATTCTCAGGGAATAATAAAGTTTGACAAACAGGAGATGAAGTTGGGGAGTTATTTTTTTAGACAGAAGAACAAATGCATGAATGATTGGGTCATACATTTTAATTTCTTTATCCTCTGTTGTTTTGATTCATGTCAGATCGTATCTAAATCATTTAGTTTCAGTTTCTCTGTGAGCAGTTTGTATCATAAACAAGCAGTAAAATCTATTCTCTTTAAATGCAACTAAAAACTCGACGCAATGCTTTGGATAAAGTTCATCTTTATCATCATGATTTATTAGATGTATGTAAGATTTTTTTTTTTTCTCTAAATATAAAGTAAGGTTGTGGAATTGGGTGGCAGCTTGTGAGAGCATGAGTGATGCCCTCATCTGTTATCAAGATGCTGAGACATGAACTCTTGAGCAAACGACGTGCCCCCAGTGTGGAAGCAGCCTTTCATCTTCTCTCTCATTGGTTTAAAGTAGCCCAGGTTTTAAATAGAAAGACAGTCCTGCTCTGCAGAAGGTGCTTAAGTCTACGATGGTAATGAAGGAGCAAAGCAAAAGACTTTTCCATCACTGAACACTGTTTGAAAGTTTTACCAATTACACTGCAAAAAATGTAAATCTAAATAAGTAATTTT